ATAACTCAAGCCCCACCTCCACTTTGCTTCTGTTACTATTAGATTTTTTTCCTTGCCAAAATATCCAATTTGCACTAAAAGACTACAAATCAACTCTGCAAACAACAATATTTGATATGATTCAGTCTGGGGATGTTGATTTTCAATCTTAAAATTGTATGGACATTTTAACTGAATCAATTACTTTGTTTAATGTATGACATTAACATTCAGCAAGTGTTTATTACATAAAAGTGTATTCCATTCTAAAAATGGAAATACCAAGTGTGAAAATGAAATAAATCTTCTTGAGTTTTGGCTACTATTTCAGAACGAAATACTACCTTCTCATATTTTCCTAATTCGTTAAAATAAGAAAAAGAAAACCTAATAAGCTAGATCTTAACAACAAATAACAGCATCACGTTACTTACCTAGTACAACAAAAAAAAAGGTGAACAAAAACCAGACTATTTTTCAGTCTGGAGAAAAACAAACTCCCTGTTCCATTTCTTAGCTGTTTACATTCAGTAGTAACGAAAACTAAAATCCTTCTCACTGGATTTCCTGGTACAGGGGACTGACTTCCTCTATACTATCTTATCAAAACGATCAGCATTAAATATTTAAATTTAGCTTGAGACCACTTAAAAAAAAAAAGCCCCACAGTCCAAAATGCCAGTAGTGACTATTCTGTAAGGAAATGGGTGAGAAACATGTTGTTATTCTAGGACGCAGGATCAATCGAGCCAAGGACTTCTGGAATATGCTGCTCCCAAGATTCAGGATGCAAGACTCAAGAAACAGCACGCGCGGTCACGATGTCCCTGAAGCCACACGACCTTCCTACGAAAGCAGAGCCTGAAAACTCTTCGACTCATGGAGAACTCCCCCTTTTTCTGAAGTTACAAGAAGACAGGGCAGCTGACAGGAGCGCGCTAAGGACATCTCGGCCCCTGACTAGCCAAGAATGGGGTCCCCGTGCTGCGGCTACTCCCCTTACCGTGAGAAGATCTGGGAGGGAGGAAAGGAGGAGAAACACCCAGAATCCTGGTGAAAAAGGCCCTGGCCTCGCAGGCGGGGGTTTAGGGAGACAGGGAGGGGCAGTCCCGTGTGTGGTGACCCTTTGAGAACAGGCTCTGTGGCAGCTCGGCTCTGACCGAGGCTTTCGTGAGAGCGGACTATCGGGGCCCCGCGCCGCCCGCCCCGACGGGGAAACCTCGGCGCTGCGGGCGGGCGCCGGCCGAGAGCCCTTCCATCGCACCCTCCGCCAGCTGTGGGGGGCCTTCGCTCCTCGCCCGCCCGCCGGCCCACCCAAGTCACTCAGGGAGCGTCGGCTTTCGACCCAGGCTCGCTCGGCCAAGGCGCAACGAGACGCGCGCGGGCTCTTTCCTCAGCGTAATCCCTCCGCTGCCGGCCGCGCACTAGTTTTAATCACGCCCCACTCTCCCCCGCCTTCCCCCGCCTGGCCGCCGGCGTCACCTCCGCCACCCGAGCGCTTTCCAGCAGCTTCCAGAAACGTCGCCTCCCCAAACCCAGCCACTCACATATGGCGGGCTCTTGCAGCCACCGGCCCCGCCCCTAGTCGTCGCCGCAGCTACCACTGCGGCTGCGGCGGCCGAGCGGAAAGCCACGCCTCTCTGCGGAGGCCGACCGGAAGTGCTCCTGTCGCCTACTTCCCTACCCGGCTTACGCCCTGTCAGGGCCCTCACGCAGAGCCGGAAGGGGAAGTGTTTCGCCGAGGACTCAAACCGGAAGCTGCTTTCCTAGCGGAGGGGCTCGGGGGGAGGAGCGGACTGAGGAGAACGTGGGTTGAACGTCGCGCTCTGGCGTGGGAGCTCCAGTTGGAACGGGAGTTCTGAGCGACCCGGACGCGAGGAAAGGTCGGGCCGGCGGCAGGTAAGAGAGAAGACGGAGTAGCTTCCTTCAGCTTCTGAAATAGGAAAAGGGGACGGAGCTGGGGTGATCTGTGGGGGTACTCCGCTGGTTGAAAGGAGGGGCTAGGCTGGGAGGGGGAAAGGCTTAGTGAGTAAGGTATTAGAATAGAGTCACAGATTCATCGCTGGGACTCAGAGAGGTAAATGCTGAAGAGAAACCAGAGGTTTCCCCTCACCCCCCCGCCCCTTCGTAAGGAGCGTGAATTAACGGAACACTGCACCTTCTCGGGTTTCCAAGGTTGGGTTTTGAAACTGACGTTTTCTGGTCTGTGATTCAGGACGGCTGGCTTGGGTACCAGACAGGGCTGGGCGCCGAAAGCCAGCCCCAGCTCTCAGCTTCAAGTCTGCTGTGGCCTGTCAAAGCTCGCGTGCCGAGCCCGCTTCCTTGGAGGGAAAGCTTAAACGGGTGTAAGGCCTTCTTCGAGCAGTTGGCTCTCTAGGTTTCCCCATTTTGCGCTGGGCTGTGATTTCAGCTTAATTGCTGCTTTCGCTAGCCCCAGGGCCAACTTGACGCTTTGTTGCTGTAACTGGGTCCGTGCTGGGTTAGTACTTGACATTTGGGCTTCTGGAGCGGCAGTGGCTCACAGAAGTAATGAAAACGGTGGCGGGGGCGATGTGGTGCGGCCCAGAAAAAAAATGCGGAGGGTGAAACGGAGTAGACGGAAAGACTGGAAAGCCAGTGGTCTCATAGTGCGGTGGTATTTAGGTCTTAGCATTGCCCTCAGGTAACAATGAACGACTGAACACGCACGCACGGAGCTGTTTGGACTTTACTGTAATTAGACTGGAGTCATTACTTGATTTTAAGCTGAGCAGCGACAGACTCAGACTTCTTTTTCTTTAATAAAAGTATCACTTTGGCAGTGATAGGGAGTGGAGATGGAGATGAAGACAGAGGTGGGGGTTGAGATGCTTCCAAAGAACTGTCCTCAGAATTTGATTACTTTGACTAGAGAACCACTCAGATTTTGTAGTATGTGTGTTTGTAAGCATTGAGGTGCCAAGTCTAGGAGAAATACAAGCAAAAAGAGCAGAAGCAGGTGGTTTTTTGAAGGGAGGACAATGAGGGCAGTCGTTCAGGGACAAATTAAGTTATAAGAACTACGCCAGGGTTTCCTGTCTAGGACCAAGTACGTTGTATTTGAAAGACTCGAATAGCCTCTCTCTGGTACTTTTATTTATTTATTTATTTATTTTAATGAATTTTCTTTTGGGGCTTCTGCATATTCAGGATTTCAACCACCAACCTACCTGTTTTTCCATTGAAATTATTGGGTGATAGGATCAGGAGAGCAAATTTGAATTCTTACCGTGTTTTACTTTAGTAGAGAGAGAACTAGCCGAAATAGTTTTCTTAATCCCTCAGGCAGATGGAAATTTTCAACAAGAAAGATTTGTTCCGGGTACGTGGCTTACCAGTCTTTTTTTTTTTGAGAATACTGCAGAATGATCCAAGCTATGCTGCCTATTTTCTGCATAATGTATAAAATAGTACTAAATAGTAGTAAAAATTTGCTGTGTGGCAGGTGCTAAACATTACTAAACACTACACGCATTGCATTTAATTCTTAGAATCATCTAATTTTCCAAATACAGTTTTGCACCTAAAGCCCTTGCTTTTAGCCACTCTTGAATCCTAGAAGTTTGACTCTTCTGTATAGTTCTCTTCTGTGAGTAGGTTATAAACAGAACCAGCCAGAGTTAACAAATTGGTGTTGTCCCTGAAGAGCTTAAAAGGTTAAAGCACCAAGCTTGTTTTTTTACTCTTTTGGTAGTGATACTCAGTGGCCTGAATTTGACCCCCTACCCCCACCCCACCCCCCTGGTTGGCAACATTTGACAGACATTTGGCAACATCTGGAGACATGGTCACAACTGAGGGGTGGCTGTTGTTGGCATCTAGCAGTTAGAGTTCAGTGATGCTGCTGAACATCCCCTTAACCCACAGGACAGCCTCCACAACAAATTGATCTGGTCTATGATGTCTATAATCTTGTGGTTGAGAAACCCTGCTTATGGATGTTTCTTTAGGAATAGCAACTTGAGATCCACGGATGCGTTTCTAAAGAGCATTTTTATTTTTGGAATTATTCCTTGGCTTGAAAGCTGTGTAAAGTATATTCCTCTGAAACAGAATAGCATACCTAGTTTCTAAAGTGAATCTGTGAGCCCCAGTTTACCAGGAGGTGGTTGTCATAGAATCACGGATTCTTAGATTTTGGAGAAACTTTTTTTTTGAAAGTGTTCTATAACATCCCTGTGAAGTGGTGATTCACTCTGCTCAGAGTTCTCCTTTATCTAGTTTTCCTTGTATTTTAAATCTAAACTATTGTTAACAATTACTTTCCCTTACACTGAGCTCCAGTCTCATAATTTTGACTTGACTGAATGGGATTCTACTCCAGGGGACTACACTCAAAAAACACTCGTTACATGTGTAATTTGTACTATGACAGTGTTTATATTTTTGTTCTGTTACAAATTATTTAATGTAAAATAAAGTACATTATTGTCAGCTTTTAAGAAGTGGCACTGTTCTCTGCTGGTGATGTATTCTTGGTAGTTGAAAGCAATAGGAATGTAGGGGGTTCTTTTGTCCTTATCAGGTAATAGCACAATGTATCTGGGTTTTGTAAAGTACTTTCTTAATATAATGTTTATATATATATTTGTTTTAAATTGTATATAGACTGAAAACTTAGGTTTTCAAACTCTGATCGATAAAGTTAAATAATAGCTAACTCTATTACAAGTTTTGACAGGTTTGCTTTTAAATGAGTCTACTATGAAGACTGGTCCTATTGCTGGTTTATGCCCTCTTCCCACAAATTTGCTAGATTTATAAATAAATTTAGGTATTTTGCTTTCACTTCAACATAACAATTTTAGAATCTGTTTAACCTAGGATATCGAGTTCTCAAAATATACTTAATGTGTATCCATCTTTTAAGATAGCATAGCTCTTTTTCAAAGTAAATAGGATTTGTTTAATTGTCTATTGACTTTTTTTTTTCCAGGGTTCATTGAGAAATCCTTAGTGCTATTGACATGTTTCAAGGGACATAAATTAGCCAATGACTCGGAATGACGGATTCCCTGAAGAGTGGAAATGGTTTGCCAGTGATTGGACCAGGGGCTGATATAGGGAAATCTTCACTCCACATGGTGGGGTACTTGGGAAAAGTTAGTGCACTTATTTTTTGCCTCAGTGCAAAGTTGGTTTTTTTCCCTCCTGTTTTTGAGACTTAAATTTGGTTTTAATTTTACCAATTAATTTCTAAAAAATGTGTATCTTCCACGGAAATCTTACAGTAATGGCGAAAGACTGTTTTCTGTTTACCTCTCTGTTTCATTGATATGTGAAAGTAGAAAAAAAACAGATCTTATGGTTTACTGTTTGAAAATATTGAACTTATTTTCAGTGGTAACTGATGTTACTTTTTTTCTTGCAAATAAAACTAATGCTATTCTTAACACCTAATTTAATATTTAAAACTAGAATATATTCTTTTTGGAATAATAGCTGTATTAAAGCCTGTATGCATTTCTTTTATTTGCTGTCTTTTAAGATATCTTGCCAGGATGCTTCTAGGTGGAAATTATAAAAAAATTTTTCTGGTTACTTTTCCATTTTACTTTTTGTAATTTCATAAAATCTGTGAGTATCTCTTTTAATTTACTTTTTTTCTCTTTTAGAATTGTGATTCAGCTAAAGTTTTGTCAGATGAGTATTGCCCTGCTTGTAGGGCGAAGGGAAAGTTAAAAGCCTTAAAGACTTACCGAATTAGTTTTCAAGAATCTGTCTTTTTGTGTGAGGATCTGCAGGTAAAGTATTAATCTTAGATGGTATCAAAGTTTTAGCGTTTTGCTTTTTTCATCACTGTTTAAATTTGTGCTCATTTTGTAGTTTTTAGACTGTGTATTTTGAAATATAGATAATCAAAGTCTCTAGATCTGTCTGGTATGCAATTTTAAAAATTCTCTGTTATTTTCCCACTCAGTTTCCTGAGTTATTACATGAAGATGTTAGACTTGTTAGAGGAGGGAATATATTTCAAGATTTTTTTTTTTAAACTTTTGTGAGGGTGCTTTAGATGTTGTCACTCTCATCTGTTGGTTTATTAACTTTGGGACTCACTGAGAAAGTTATTAAGCTCTAAATATTATGTACTTAAGAACTCTAGAACTTCTTCATCTTGCAAAACTGAAATTCTGTAACCATTGAATAACAACTTCTCCCCTTAGCCCTGGTAACTGCCATTCTAATTTGTCTATGAATGTGACTATCTCTAGGTACCTCATATAAGTGGAATCATACAGTATTTGTCTTTTTGTGATTTTGCGTAGTGTAATGACCTCAAAGTTTATCCATATTGTACCATATGAAAGGAGTTCCCTTTGTTAAGGTTGCATAACATTCTATAGTGTTAATATGTATATACCGCAATTTCTTTATCCACTTGTTTGTACATGGACATTTGGTTTGCTTCTACTTCTTGGCTATTGTGAATAATGCTATAGTGAGTATGGGTGTGCAAATATCTCTTCAGGGTCTTGCTTTCAATTTCTTTGGACAACTTTTTGAATACAAAATTACCACTATTGATTTTAAAGTGTTCTATGTCGTCTGACATGTGGTAGGATTAGGGAAGTAATCTCAGGGTATAAAAGTTGAGGATCAAGTTGTTAGTTAATAGTGACTACACAACTAGTTAGTAATGGAAAAATGAACTTGTCCTGTTAAACTAAAGAATTTCTAAATAAGTACAATATTAGGAATATAGTGTTCACTTGTATAGAAGATGCTTAATTTTAAAATGGAGGATTTAGTGCATTTCAGGCTTCCCCCAAAGCTCAGTCAGTAAAGCATCTACCTGCAGTGCGGGAGACCTGGGTTCAATTCCTGGATCAGGAAGTTCCCCTGGAGAAGGAAATGTCAATCCACTCCAGTATTCTTGCCTGGAGAATCCCATGAACAGAGGAACCTGGCAGGCTACAGTTCATGGGATCATAAGAGTCAGACATCTTTCTTTCTTTCTTTCTTTCTTAGTGCATTTCAGTTAGTTGTTGCTATAAAATGAACCATCTCAAAACTTAGTGACAAAGTGATTTAGCAACTTCACTCATGACTCTGTGGGTTGTCAAGGCAGTTCTTACACTTCCCATTTTCTTGGCTGGTACAGCTAAATTTAGTCAGTGTGGCAGGCTTTGGATGCCAGCTCCCAACTGGGAACTCAACTCAGGTAGTCAGCCAGGATCTCACTTTTTTTCCACGAGGCTCCATAAGGCTAATTGGGATCCTTACAGTGCAATAACTGAAACTAAGAAAGTGTTTTCCAGAAAGAGGGCTGCGAGAGGACAAGTCCAGTCAGCCAGTGCATCAGGCCTCCATGTGCATCCTGGTTGTTCATGTCCCATCACAGCTAGTCACATGGCCAAGCCCGAGGCTGTGGCAGGGGGCTGACTCTAGGGCCCGACTTCCTGGAGATAGAGTTCTTTAGTTCACCAGAGGCCACTGAGGTGGCTGTCTACCATACATGTATAGAAGAAGGCATGTTTTAAGTGAAGGCATACAGGATGTAGATTTCTTGCATCTATCTTATAAAATGTTTTGCTAGTGTTCAAGCTTAGGGAAAATTCGTTGGTTATTTTAGTGATTTGTTTACACCTTTTGCTATTTGGCTGTAATTGTGTTCATGCACAGTGAAGTCATTAAAATTCAGCCAGTTTGATTTTGAGAACCAGTGTAGTTGTAAAGTTGATCCACTGAAGTGTTCTTGGGTTAACACTCAGTTTCAAAACTATGAAACAGTCATTACTCTTTGCAACTTTTTACATTGAAACTATTTTTCTAGTTTTTAATGCCACGCATTATAAAGTGAAAGTGAAGTCCCTCAGTCGTGTCCGACTCTGTGACCCCGTGGACTGTAGACTGCCAGGCTCCTCCGTCCATAGGATCCTCCAGGCGAGACTATTGGAGTGGGTTGCCATTTCCTTCTCCACGCAGTATGCCTATCCCCAAAAGAATAGTACACTCAATCATAAAATTTTAGAACTTTTAGTTCATTCAACATTGGATTCTTTGTTAAAGCAAAAATATGTATGTTTTCCTTGTAAACTTACCCTGGTGTAGTTTAGATTAAACCCTTGACTATTCAAATTAACTAGGAAAAAATTACTCTTTTGAGGACTAAATTTTTGATTAGTTGTTTATCCTTGTTCCTTCAAATTTAGATTGATAATATCATATACCCTCTCATATCAAATTAATGCTAACGTTTTATACATATTTTTCATGACATAGAAATGGTAAAGTAAAGCTTGAGCTTATTTGAATTTTTATTTTTCCTTTCTAGTGCATCTATCCGTTGGGCTCTAAATCACTTAATAACTTAATTTCTCCTGGTTTGGAAAATTGTCACACTCCAAATAAGCCTCAAAAAAGAAAGATCTTGGAAGCCAACTGTGAAGAGTCACCTCTCTTAGCAGTTTCCAAAAAGACTAAAAATCATCGAGACATTGACAGTGGACAAGTTTTGAACAATAACCATAATGGAGGAGAACATGATGGAACCTCACCAGGCTTACCTGGTTCACTGTACAGTGGACAGCACAATCCAGTTAGGACAGCTGATTCCTGGGAGCAGAATGAGGCTTTGGAAGCTGATGCTGTTGACGTGGCTCCTGAGGAAGATGCTACTGTGGTTGATGTTTCTGGAACTGAAGGGACTCACCCTCAAAATGAAAGATGTGCATCTGAACTGGAAAAGCCACTGGAGAGCAAACATACCTCGTTTTGCCAGACCTCATGTGTCCAGTGGGAAAATGCACATGCTCTGTGTTGGTTAGACTGTATCCTGTCAGCACTGGTGCACTTGGAAGGGCTGAAAAGCGCTGTGACTGACCTGTGTTCTAAAGAGGAGTCCATGTTCGGGCGGTTGTTTACCAGGTATAATCAAGCCAATATGCTTCTGCACACCAGTCAGCTGGATGGAGTTAAAGGTTAGTAATAACATTTTATTTCTCTTTAATTTTTAGAGAGACTAATGTTGAACTTGTCTCATAGCACGTGAAAAAGATGCCATTAATACCCATTGTTCTGTGTCGAGACCTTGGAGCAGGGACCAAAGGGACCATATCATGAAGCTTGAGATAATATCAGTTGTGTTATGACTGCCCAAAAGGCAGTCTTTTTCACACACACACACAAAAACAGTAAGGAGTCTGTGGCTATATCTTATCTTTTGGTCAATGGTCAACATACAGTCCCATCAAAGTAAAACCTTTGTAAGTTTTTGAGTTGCTGTAAAGTGGAATAAAGCAAGTAAATAGACCACCCATAATCCCACAACTCTCCAAAAATCACTTCACAGGGATATATTTTTATTTTTTTATAAAATAGGATACCCAGGAACCACCTCCAACCCAAGATAAAATATTTGCAGTGATTTACATGTACCTGTGTGTCCCTCCCCATGCCATCCTCTCCTCCCCCCGAAGGTAATCATTATCCTAAAATGTATTTTATCATCTCTTCTTTTTAAATAATTCTTCCTACATATATATGGCTAAGTAAGGTATTGCCAAATTTAATGTTTTGAACTTTATAAAAAAGATACACAGTATATTTTTTCTGGGACCTTTTTTTATATAAAGATTTATCTGTAAAGCTGCTTGTATCTGTGGCTCACCAATTTTAATTGAAATGTAATATTTCCAGTTTGCTAGAATACCAGTTTGTAAATATAGCAGTGCGTTTATTCATCTCTCATTGGGTTGATTCTTGCCATCATAAATACTGCTGCTGTGACTGTTTTTAGGCCAATCTCTCGGGGCCCGAGAGTTTCCCTTGGATCTATCTCAGGATAGACTTTGAGTTCACACAGACTGGATAAAGGCTAATGGTTTTCCAGAGTGGTTGTACCAGTGTATACTCCCATTAGCAATGTAGATGAGATCTTCCTCATCCATATTTCCTCCCTTGACTCTTTTCAGACTTGGAGATTTTTGCTATTTGAATGATATAAAATGGTCCTGATTTGCTTTTCCCCAATTTTAGGAAGGTTGAACAGCTCTTCCTATATAGATTGACCCTCTGTTCTCTCTGTGAAGCCTGTTTGTGTCTTATACCTCTTTGTTCTGTTGTCATGTGTTTGTTGATTGGAACTTTTATATGTCCTTGTTGCTATATTTATTTATGTCAGATAGCTTGCTACATCTCCCAGTTTGTATCTTGTGCTTTTGCTTTTTTAAAGATGTCTTTTGATGTACAGAAATTGTTCATCTTTCTTTTTGTAGCTAGTAATGTGTGTGGTTTTAAAAAGAAATGTTTCCTTTATCCAAGATGAGAAAGTTATTCACCTGTGTTTTCACTGAAAAAGTCACAGAGGTTTGCTTTTTACTTTGAAATTCTTAATTCAATGGGAGGTAATTAGGTATGGTGTGTGGTAAGGGTTCATTTTTTTCCCATTGCATAGCCTGTTTTTCTAGCTCCACCTTTTTCCTCAAGTGACCTGCTATGCCCCCTTTGTCGTATTACAGTCTGTGTAAGCAGTTCCTTAGCACCCAGTTTTAGCCTCTTAGTCACTTTGTCTCTGCACCAGCACCACACTATGTTAATTATTAGGGCTTTTTAGGTCTTGCTAGCCTCATCTTTACTCAGCTTGACTTTGATCTTGCAATCTTTTATATAAATCTTATACATTGTTTCCCCATCCTTGAATATTTTCCTATTGCTGTACCAGTGCCAGGCTGTTTTAATTATTACGGCCTTTTGGGTCTTGGTATCTGGTAGGGGAGAATCCTTAATTTTATGCAGTTTGACTTTGGTTATTCAGTATTTTATTCATTTTTTATAAGATAATTGTTGTTTTTATAATATAGTTGTAATTACATTTGTTCCAGCTGCATTATTGTTGATTGTAAGTTTTCTCTTTTTTTCCAGTGTGATCAGATACCAAAAATTCTAGTCAGTGCTCACTTCATATTATAGGATACTCCAGATGTTCTCATCTGGAGTGAAACACACAAGCAGTGTGTGATCAGGCTATATGAATTATTTACTTGTAAGAGATTGAACTGAAAAGATCTAGTAGCCTAAGAGTAATTAGAGTCAGGTGCATATGGAGACTTTTACTCAAAATAATTTTGTTAATCTTAGTTTTCTGTCAGTAATTTTGAGGACTTTTGCCCTAAAGAATGTCAAAAACATGGACAGGTATGTGCCCAAAGATGTTCATGATAATAGTATTTATAATAGTAAAAAAAAAAAAAAAAAATCTTAAATGTCCAGCAATAGGGAATGGCCAATAAAACTATGGTTCAGTTGGAGTGTAATAACTAGCCTGCAAAGTTTTTATTGAAGCACATTTGTGTTAAAGAAAGCAGAATGTGGAATTGTACAAAATGCGATGATGTCAGTGAAGACCCCTCATGCCCTCCTTCCTTCCCCTCCCCCAAAAAAAGATGTAGAAGGAGGGAAACATACCAAATGTTTGTTTGGGAAGTAATAATAATATTAACACTCCTTATAAATTTATCTGTTCTGTGATCTAGTTAAGTTCAGTAGAAGTTATACAGAGAAGATTAACTGATTAGAAGTTGTCTTAGCGTAAGGAACAATTGCATTGAAAGAAATGGCCTCAGATGTTTTAGAGATGGGCAGAACATTAACGTGTAGCTCTTTAGCTAGGCCTGTGATTATTTGAGTGAGAGAAACTTTTCGCTGAGATTTTACTTGGGTAGAATGATGTTGAGCCAGTCAGTCAGTACTAACGATATTGTGCTGTTAAAAAAGACTGAGGGAATGTACGGTATACTATGGGACTTCCCTGGTGGCTCAGATGGTAAAGCATCTGCCTGCAATGCAGGAGACCTTGGGTTTGATCCCTTAGTCGGGAAGATCTCTGGAGAAGGAATTGGCTACCCACTCCAGTATTCTTGCCTAGAGAATCCCATGGACACCCCCTGGTGGGCTGCAGTCCATGGGGTCACAAAGAGTTAGACACAAGTGAGTTGACTAAGCACTTACACACATGATATACTACAAAGAGAAGAAGAATTAAGGAATTTTGTAGTTTTCCATTTTGTCTCTGGAAAATTTGTTGACTGATAAACTTTCATTTTTGATAATGTATTGTCTATAGAAAGATAGAGATTGATGAGAAATCAGTAATGTTCTATATTTTATTTTAGATGGAGATTGTAAAAAGCTTCCTTCAGAAATATTTGCAAAGATAGAGACCTGTCTGAATGAGGTCAGAGATGAAATTTTTATTAGACTTCAACCTCAGCTTAGATGTACATTAGGTAAGTAATTTGTGGAATTTAACTGTATTACTCATCTACTGTAAAGACATACTTACATCATAAGGAAATACAACACTGTTTTATTACTTGGGATGATCAGATTCTTGGAAGGGAGAATCTGGGTAGAAACGTATCACTAGTTAAATCATTCAAGGATGGAGTTGTTTTATATAAATATGCACACGTGTGTTCCATGCCTTCAGAGTGGATACAGTTCTCAGAGCCAGGTCAGCACTCAGGCGTTACACCATTGGCTGCTTTCCCTGTCCTTTCCCCCAGTAGACTACTCCAGCCACTCATCTGTTGAGTGGGGACTCATCCCAGAGGAGCCTTGTCCATAAGATCACCAGAGTGTAGACTGAGGGGCTCCTATGTTGCATTTTGCGGCTATCAGTTCCCCCCTAGAGTGACCTGAGATGTTTTATTCAGGTTCCCTACTCCAGTTCCTAGTTGAATTTTAAAGAGTGGTTTCTTCCCCAGTCTGAATCACCACCCTGCTTATCCCTGCTCATTATAAATATTTAGAAGATTGTGTCTTGGTCTACTGCTGCCTTGGATGTGGATTTCTGTATAACAGAGAAGGGATGTCTGAAAACTGTGCACTCATAGTAGTTGGGCAGGCATGTAGCTCTTCCGATACAGAGGCATCCTCCAATTGTGTCTGTACTACTCAGCAGTGAGAGGGGCTATGTTAGTGCTTAAGGTCTTACTGATGAAACCTAACGTTTGCTTCTGGGAGCACATGGGAATCTTACGGTGTGTGTGTCCTCATTCTGAATATTAACATGTATTCTAAACCACTAAAGAAAGAGAAGTAGAACCCATACTGGCTTGGAATGTTGGTTACATTTTTAAGATCAGCCAGACACTTCATCATTTTCATTACTGTTTTTAAAAAACACATTGTAAGCTATCCTCTCTGCTCTCCCTCCTCACAGTTTAAGAAATATTACAACTAATACCCTTTTTGTGCTCTTTCCCAATTATTCCTTACCTCACCACAAAGGTAACTGCTATCTTCAATTTGATATTTCTTTTCCTTCATTGTATATATGTTTTTTTGTTTTTGAAGGAAAAAGCCAGTATTTTAGGGTGTCTACTTATTTATGTAAGTGTAGAGAGTAAATTAGTCTTTGAGTGTTGTGTACCAGTGTCAGGATAGGCAGACCAATAGAACAGAATAGAAAGTCCAGATCCAAACCCGCCCGCCCCCCCACCCCACCCCCGTTTAGTTTCTTCCTAACGGTGATGGTTGGTTCCTGATTGGGTGGAGAAGGTGTGGGTGGGATTAGAGCCCTTCTTCACAGCATAATTAGAAAACTTCCAGTATTCACATATTTAAAGACCTAAACATGAAAAGCAGAGTTGTAAAACTTTGGAAGAAAATATAGGTCACTACTTTACTAGAGATTGGTGACTACAGTTACATCAAAGTTTAAAACCTCTGTGTAAAGATAGCACAAAGAAATAATATCCAGGATATCTTATGAAGAATTCTTGTACATCAGTTTAAAAAAAAAAAAGAAAAAACCTGATAGAAAAGTGGCCAGACACATTAATGAGCCAGTAACAGAAGAGAAAACCTGAATAGCTAGACAGCAAGGAGTCACTGAAAAGTTTGCATCCTGATGAACAAGATACTTCAGGGAAATATGCAAACTAGGTATAGATGGCCTCCATCTTTCGGTGGTCTGACTTTTGATTTTTTTTCAGTTTACAATGGTGTTAAAGAGAGAAATGCAGTCAGTAGAAACTGTGCTTTGAGTTTTGAATTATGATCTTTTCCTAGACTAGTGATAAGCCCTATGATACTCATTTGCGATGCTAGACAGTGGGAGTGAGCTGCAGCTCCCAGCCAGCCATGCGATCACAAGGGTAAACAACCGATATGCTTACAAGCATTCTGGATCCAGACCAGCATCCTGCTTTTCACTTGCAGTATAGTGTTCAATAAAATACATGAGATACCCAGTACTTTATTATAAAATAGATACTGTATTCAGTGATTTTGCCCAACGGTAGTCTAATGTTAAGTGTTTTGAGCACATTGAAGGTAGGTTGGGCTAAGCTTTGATATTTGGTAGGTTAGGAGGATTAAATGCCTTTTCAACTTAATAATATTTTCCACTTAAAAATGTATAGGTTTATTGGAACATAACCCTGTCATGAGTTGAGGAAGATCTATAGTTGAGCTGGAGTTGGGCTTAAGGCAGTAGAGATAGAGAAACCACTTAATTTAGACAGGAGGTTATCAAAATTAGAAATAAGCTTTGGTATTGTATGTTTCTCTAGTAGGATGCTTTAGAAAGCTAAAACTGATAATCAAAGGAAAAATAATTAAGATCATTTTAGGAGCTATGTACATTACCTAAAATGGTCTGTAATCATACAACTTATTCAATTGTGTTTTGAGTTCTTTTGTGATACTTTGATTTGTTGAGAACTATGTATTTTTTTGAGCTAAAGATTATGTTGTCATAATGTAGTATAAATTATTTACTTTTTCACTTGATATTAGTTTCAACAGTAAGTGTTTAAAGGCTGATAACTAATTACAAAGTCATGCTATACTACACACTCTATGCATATGATGTTCATTTTTAGGAGATTAATTTGTTATTTCTTTCTGTTATGAAAAGCGTTTTGTTTTGGATCTCTGTTGTTTTACAAAAACAGCAGTGGGACTGTGAAATAGCCTTGGTGACCACTGACACTGATAGGGTGATGCCTAAGAGCGCTGACTCTGAGGCAGGAAGACCCACCGTCCTGCCTTTCAGCGCATCTGGGATGGCTCTTCTCGCCACGTCCCAGACAGCTGTAGTCCAGGCTGGGGAGAAGCAAATGTCGGCAGTGAGGCTGTCCCTGGGGGGGAGGCAGTGGCAGGGCTCGGATTAGTCCTTGGGCCAAGTCAGTCCGGCAGCATCTAAGCTCCCCGGAGGACAGAAAGGAGGGAAAGCAATTGGAGGGTGAATGTGAGGAGAATCTAAATCCTCCTCCTAACGTCCTGCTCTCCAAGTTGGAAGACAGAATCCACAGTTCAGCTTTTGTTTTAATGACAACAAAATTCAGATGTTCTTTAGTTTTAAAGCTGTTGAAGTTTAATTGTTAAAAGATTAAGAAGAGTAGTGGCTGAGGAGTCTGGTCCTCTGAGCCTGGTGCGTCATGCCCTTACCACTCTGTAGAACAAGAGAGTCAGAGTAGAGTTGGCCTTTTGTCCAACTCGGAAATTATTATCCTACACTGTTTCTCCAGTTATATTATTTTTAGCATCTGTACCAAACAAATCTATATATTTTTGCTTTGTTTTTATGATGCTTTTATGAACTGTCACAGTTCTGAGCATTTCTTTTTTCCCCAAGAAAAGCTTATCTAGGGGGCCCTATGAGTCTTCTGTATCTTTGTCTAAGTGTTTTCATAAGTGTCACCAAGACAAATGAAAGATAGTGTTAATTAAAATGATGGACATTTTTAGAAAGTGCTTCGAAAACTTCTCTTGCCCAACTGTGAATAACTTACTCTGTCATATATATGTATTCCCATATATTCATACTGTGAATATAGTGAGAAAAGATGACAGTTTGTAATTTTTTTTCAGTTCATTATGAGCAATAATTTTTCTTTTTCTTCTTCAAGGTGATATGGAAAGCCCTGTGTTTGCATTTCCCCTGCTCTTAAAACTAGAACCCCACATTGAACAGCTCTTCACATACTCTTTTTCTTGGAATTTTGAATGTTCACACTGTGGGCACAAGTATCAAAACAGGTTAGTGTTTCTATTTTCTTTAATGGATTCATTCTGTTGAAAATGTCTGCAAGTAGTGAAATGTGAAGAAAACTTGCTTCCACTTGTAGCATTGCTGTCTTTACCCTTGATAAAATTTCCTTTTGTATATTAAAGTTTCTCCACCGCTAAGATTAAAAGGGAACAGTGGAGCCCCAGAAACTGCATTATTTACTTGCTTTTTCATACTAAAAGAGTACCGATAATAAATAAATGGTTTGATAGGTCACTGGAAGGAGTTTTGGTTAGCAGCTCTGTAGTGGGAGTGGGGACTAATGGGGAAGTAGCGCAGTCCCCCGCCTCCCCCACTTGCCCTGGATTCCCTGCTGAGTAAGTACACCTCTCAGAGTTCTTCGCAAAACCATATGTGTTTTGTTTACTCCTATGTTAGAGACTAGGGCTTTCGTTTGCTTGTTTTCAGCATTGTGGAAACTTGATTTTAGGCTCCCAGAGTCTGGCAGCAGATCTTAGAGGTAACTTATGCTCTCCCATTCCTTCCCTTAGTCCTATGAAAGACCAGCCACCACCAGAATCCTTCTACACGTGAACTGTCTCAGCCATGCTTTCTACTTCCCTGCTGCCTCTAGGTGAGGATTAGAGAGATCACGATTGTTGTACATGACCCTGAGATTGGTACTTAGGACGAAACATGGAGAAGAAAGAACCTGCAAAGTTATTTTGCTTCCATTCACCTACCATATTAAAAAAAAAAATAGAGAGATTAGGTTTTGGAAGAGGAGTCAGGGAGAGAAAATTTATCAGACACAACACCCTTGCTATGTCCACATATGAGAAAGTCACTGGCTGGCTGGCAGTTAAAATATGACCATGCTGGTTCTGTTGGTCATTTATACTGTTATAATGGAGGTAAATCCTTTCCTCTTTTCTTGAATTCATCTGTTAGTAAACTAGAAAATTTGGAGTCTCCAAGTTACTGAATAAATGTATATGAAAAAATACTACTTTAGATATTCATTATCTTAATTGAGACTATTTTCAGGTATTTAGGGATTAGTCAAGGAGAGCTGAGTGTGAGAGAATGCTCTAGGAAATCCAAGCTGTAGAACCAGAAAGCACTTTTTTTTTTTTTTAATCAGTTAAGTCAAAAGGACTAGAACAGAGTTCAGTTCAGTCACTCAGTCGTATCCGACTCTTTGTGACCCTGTGGACTGCAGCACACCAGGCTTCCCTGTCTGTCAGGGAACAGAGTAAGACAGCATTTCACTCATACCTAGGATTTAAGTAACTTTGTGTGAGTATTAGAACAAACATCTGCTTCTAGGTCTTCTGGCATTGAGTTTTATAAATTATCTGACTTTCTCCTCGTTTGACATGTATGGAAACTGAAACTTGTAAGGGGTTAAATTGACGCCTGAGGTGACAGACTAGTAAGTGAAACAACTCAGGCTTAGGTTTTCTGTTCGCTCAGACTTTTCCTGCTCGCTGAGACATGCTGCCTAATCTCCACCTGGGTCTTAAATAATATAAATAACAGAAACAAGCCTGAAGATGACAGTCAACTTGATGATAGCTTTTCCAGAATCTGTATCTCAGTTGTTTGACAGCTTTTTACTGAGCATATTCTCTGTGCCAGGAACTCAGCAGAAATCATCTTTATTCTGGCCAAATTCAGACAGTTAGTTAGGGAAGTAACATGGAAACATAACAGAGGGCCAGTGACTTAGCAGTTATTTTGATCTGTTGGCTTTGAATACAAAGTGAAAAGTGCATCTTGGAGCTGTATAGAAAAACTGAGAGCTCAAGGGAAAGAATCATCCAACCACTTAACCCCTCTCTTTTTTTTCGGTTAAAGTTTTTTGCTCTAAAAGTAAAAGTAGTTCGAGGGGGGAAGCTTAAAATGAAGTGGCATTTCATTGAAACTTACTTTCACATAATCTGGTGGAAGAATATCAGCAAACCCATTCATTTGTGTGCTGCTGTTTTTAGTGCTAGTGTAAGAGCTTTTGACTTGATTCAGAAGATAGTTTCTGCAGGCAGTTAAAAACCTTGGAGTTGGGCTCGCTGAACTCATTTCATGTCTGTTGGGTTTATCATCTGATGTGTCTCATTTGCCTCATCCCTAAAATGGGGATGAAAAGAGCACCTGCCACAGGGATGTTTTGGTAGATGAGTGTTTGGCTCAGTGCCTTATATGTAGTCCGTGCTAAGGAATGTGAGATGTCATGTGGAGCATTAATGCTTATTTGCTGAGACAAACTCCCTTTTATTAATGAAAAATAGGAGCCTTTATTTAATATTTATCTTTGGAAACTGAGAATATAGCAGAAATAACAGTCAGTGTGTTTGTTGATACCTTTATGTATCTTTGCCTTTAAAATGTTAGCTTCCCTGAGAATTGATCTCTTTGTAACAGCCTGTGCTTACCTCACACGTAAGTTATTTAAGTTGTTATTTATAAAAGAAGGGTGGTGTCTCTTAGATAATAAATAATTGCTCTTTTAAAGATACTGTTAATCAAGTTGAATTGTATTGTGCATCTGTAAACATCATGTTTGCAGATGCCATTGCTATAAAATATTCAGGCTTAAGTGCAAAATTTAGAACTCATATAAACTGTGAAAACCTAATGTTTTCACAACTGATATTCTATTTTAAGTATCAATTAAGTTGTTGCTATTCCCGAATATGTTTTTGTAAGTGCCCCTTTTCATTTTTGGTTGTTAGTAACAGATAGCCAGGTGGGTGAATTTTTCGAGTAAGGATGAACTCTTAATACATTTGAAAGCCTTAAAGCAGTGGCCCTTCACTGGGGGCTCTTTCCTGCCCCATGGGGATGTTTGGCAGTGTCTGGAGATAGCTAGTTGCTGCGGCTGGAGGCTCTTATGGCCTCTCGTGTATAGAGAGGCCAGGAATGAGGCCCAACATCCTCCAGTGCACAGGTCAGTGCCCTCCAGCAAAGAATAACCCAGTGCAAAATATATAGCAGCGGTATTACCCTTGAGAAACCCTGCCTTTAACATTTTCACCTCATAGCTGAGAAACTATAGATAATTAATATGGAGAGTTCTTACAGAGAACTTTACTAGGGTAGGGTTAGGAAAGAACATTTACATAGGTTTGCAGGAATAGGAAAGTATGAATAAAAAAGGAAAGTGCCTTCTGTTTTAGACATTGATTTAAGGTAACATGAATGAATTTAACTTAATCAAAATTATGTCTTTTTTTTTTTAATAGATGTATGAAGAATCTGGTCACCTTTACAAATGTCATCCCTGAGTGGCACCCACTTAAGGCTGCCCATTTTGGTCCGTGTAACAATTGCAACAATAAGTCACAAATAAGAAAAATGGTATTAGAAAAGTGAGTTTAAATTGCCTTACTATTTTTAGAACAAAGTGAATGTGGATTTACTTTTTTTTTTTCCAGTGTGTAGTATTGAAAGTGATGACTGCAACCTGCTTTTCAGAAGTTTGAGTTAACATAGGTTTATGAATTGCCAAAGTGCTTCTCTCTGTCAGGAGCTCTGGTAAGCTGTTCAAGTGACACACCACTGCAGAGCTGACTTAGGGTAATTATCTTTCTCCACACCTACTATCTCTCCTCTTTTTCTTTGTCTTCTCTCTCTTTAAGCTTATTAAACTTCCATTTTCTTCACCTCTATCAAGTGCCTGGAGTCATTAGAATTCTGGGATTTCCTTAACCTGATTTCAAGAATTAAGATGATTCAAAATGAGCCATAGACTCATCTGTCTGAGTTTCCATCTTCTCCCAGACTTCATTGTGCTAATTCTTCATCTTTCTGTAAGCTTTCTGCTGCCCTTGAGCAGATGTATCTTCATTGTATATCACCAACCCTTCTGTTTTTCCTCAGTGGTTGGACTGATCAGAATTTTCTTTTTTAGTGTTATCAGAAGCCCCATCTCTATAAAAACTCACAGATCAGTTCCACGTTCGGGGAAGGCAGTGGCACCCCACTCCAGTACTCTTGCCTGGACGGAGGAGCCTGGTGGGCTGCAGTCCATGGAATCGCGAAGAGTCAGACACGACTGAATGACTTCACTTTCACTTTTCACTCTCATGCATTGGAGAGGGAAATGGCAACCCACTCCAGTGTTCTTGCCTGGAGAATCCCAGGGACAGAGGAGTCTGGTAGGCCACCGTCTCTGGGGTCGCAAAGAGTCGGACACGACTGAAGTGACTTAGCAGCAGCAGCAGCAATTCCACATTAGGCAGTTTCTCTCTTTTTGTTAATACACTTACACACGTACCTCCTCTGTAACTTTGTCCCTACATAAAGGACATGTTTTGAGGTTTCATTTGATATGGTAAAGAACCAGTGACATTAACCTTCTCCTCCCTTTTTCCGATGGCCTTGGATGTGCCAAGAAATCTCTCAGAACCTTTCCTAAAGGTTTGCTTTCATGCAAGTAACAAAATCTCAGGTAATCTACTAGTGCCAAGACCTAAAAGGAGAAAAGAACAGCGCCCCTCCTAGTCCATCTCCAAGCACCTGCTTTAAACCTTTAAGGTAGCGTTCACTTTGACATTTCAGTATAGTGTACCTTTGCCACGTTTATACAGTCTTCTCCTTTTAAAATAATTGAGGGCTGGCGCGCTCTCACCATCACCTGGGCCCCACCTGTGTTTAACCTCTCCCTGTCCTTCCAATATGACTACAGTTTTTGGTTAAATCAGTACTTCATTTTTTATTAGTATACTTACATTCCTTCTCCTGCCAAGGAGTATATGTGGTTAATGTTTCATCTCTTTCATAGCTCTTTATTCTTCCTAGAGTTATTGATTGCTTATGTTTTCATTTGCTTTGTTATATATGCATTGTGAATTTTCTCCAAATTCTTTAAATGCCCATTAATTTTCTAAACACGCAAATGCTTCAAAATTTTTAAGTTCTCCTCCCCACTTTTGTCATCACAGATCATTATGTGGCAAAAACAGTTTTGCAGGACTTTTTATTCATAGGTACGTAAAGACTAGATTATTCTCTAATAGAAAGATTGACAAGGGATAATTTACAAATTATCCCAAATTATCCCTCGTCAGTTTGGATAATCTACATTTTTGGACACTGATTCAAGTTTATTTCAGCTGAATAAATGTTGATAAGCTAAGTAAGTTTTGACATCTGTTTAAATATTGGGGAAAGAGATATTCAACATTTTTTTGTAAATCCTGAAAGTTCTGTTAAATTTAGTTATTTAAGGCCTATTGTGGGTTCTGTTCTCTGGTTTGTCATGTTACTGTAGTAATGTATTTTTGAAATTACAGATGTTTTGAAATTTATAGTAAATCAACCAGTATATTATTTTTCTACTTCCTTAAGAAGTAAACTTTTTGTAAGTAGAATTTTAACTTGATGGGTCTGTCTACTTCCTGAGAAAACAGAGAAATAGGCCAAATTATATCAGCTTATTCGATTTTTTTAAATGTTTATTTGAATATCTTAGGTTTGTTATTTTGTTTCTCATATTACCTGTCCCATCTAACAAAAAAGCAGTTAATTTGGGCACTTGGTGCCAAAGAAAATTCTCAAAGGTCTAGATTTTTTTCTTTTGATTCTGTAAAGAAGTTTTCAAGAGATCTTCTGTAAGCCAAAGCAGTGTTGCGGCTTACAGAGCAAGTTTTGTTTAATGGCCTGTGTTAGAGCTTTACTGCTTGATGGCCTCCAACTCAGTGACACCATTCTGAGAAGGGTGTAGTGTTACACACGTCTTCGAATGAGTTCTCCATTTCTAATTAAGGCACACATCTGGAGGTTCTCAAGAAAAAGCAGTGCAATTGGCCTTGGAAGTGTTCCGTGTGACTCACTTGCCTCAGACTGTCTTTTGTGCAGCTAGACACATGGCATCACATTCATTTGACTTCTCTTGCCTTTCTTCCCTACAGAGTCTCTCTCGTATTCATGTTGCACTTTGTGGAAGGCTTACCCCATAATGACTTGCAGCGCTATTCATTTCATTCTGAAGGCTGTCTTTATCAAGTAACCTCTGTAATTCAGTACCAAGCAAATAATCATTTTATAACATGGATTTTAGATGCTGATGGTAAGTGCTTTAACATTTTTCTTTTATGATAATAGGCCTAGGGACTGAACTCTAGTTTGTTGTTCTTTTAAGACAAACGTTGCCTTGACATTCTTTTCTCTCTTCTCGTCCTTGCCTGTTACAACCCCACCCTCTACCTTATCACCCTGCTTTAGAATACACTCCTCATGGCTGCCTTTCCTTGTTTATATCAGCGTGTTTATGAGTATACACATGCATATGCATATTGCTTTTTTAAACAGAGATTGAGGTGAGAGACTACTGTTGGTTTATAGTTTGCTGTTTTTCACTGAATGTTCTTCCTGGGGGTAGTTTGGATATATATCACAATATGCTTATAAAGCACTTTGCAAATGGAAACTCATAAATATAGATATTACCTTAAAGTTTTACCCTACTTCAAAATTTAGGGGGACATTAGTTCTTAATAACTTAAAAAAAACTTTGAAAAAAAATTTTAGTTGTCTAATTGCATTTTACAGAATGAAAAATCCTCTTCAGAGAGAAGAGGTAGGGTGTTTTCCAACTTTGACAAATATATGAAAATTGTATGGTTAGCTTATAAAAAATGTCCTGGCTCTTCTCTAGAGCAGTGAATCAGTCTCTGAGGGTTCAGCCCAAATAGTAATCAGATGGTTCTAACATATGTGTGTGGTGGAGATCCACTGACCTAGGCAAAGAAAATATTCTCAAAGTTTTAATGGGTATAGGATAAGAAGTAGTGGGTTCAGATTGTTTATAAGACTGTATCGACATAAACTTATTTAGCAGATAGTTTTGTTTGGGATTTTTTGGTGTTTTAGAGGGGGTATTTAATGTCTTTCCCTGTCATTGATCATCTCATCCCTACTTGACAAATGAGAAAACAGGAGCTCAGAAATTAAAGAGGAGACACCCAAAAACCTAAGCTTTTATTTTTTTCCTAACTGCCCCCCCCCACCAATAAAATAATCAAATTAAGTGTTGGTACTTGAGGTAACAAGCTTCATTTATCTTGAAAATTCATATATATGAAAAACTTAATCTATTTTCTGATATTGTTAGGTATATCAGGTGATACTGCACTCTCAATTCCAGAAGTTAAAGATACTTCTGTCTTGATTTTTATGAGCATTTTAGAAAAGAGTAAACACTGCCTCATTTTTTCACATTTCTGCGTGTTAGTCCATAACTTTTGTTATCCAAATCCAAGGACTTGACATTCAGCAGAGAAAAATGGTGACATAAGGGTAAGTCCATGTTTTCAAGTTCTCTTTTGGTAGGTATTCAGTAATAATAGCAGTTAAAAAGGCCAGAAGAAAGTTAACCTAGGATAGTTGTCTGTTCGAATGTCTCACCTCTTTCACTTTCACTCCCCATTCCCCAGGAAGTTGGCTAGAATGTGATGACTTAAAAGGCCTGTGTTCTGAAAGGCATGAGACATTTCAGGTTCCTGCTTCGGAGATACATATTGTTATTTGGGAAAGAAAAATATCCCAGATGACATATAAAGCATCTGCCTGCCATCCACTTAAAAAGACTAGTGACCAGTACACTTTCGGCGATGAGAAGCAAGCGTCTCCAGCAGCATGTTCTGCAGGCAAAGCTGCCTTAGCTGAACCGTCCTCAGGAACGCATCCCACAGATGTGTCCATGGTTCCTAATACCCTCTCACAGGATGAAGCTGTAGCTCCTGGACATCATTCCCTTCCAGATCTGAAAGGTTCAGTTGACAGCAGTATCTTACCTTTGACACATGAAGTACAGTCCAACTCTGAAGGTTTTTTATTAGAACACAAACCTGTGGCAGAAAATACAGGGGTTGTTGAAGCAAACACTTTGCAGTCAGAGGAGCCATTCACAGCTTTTTTAGTGGCCCCATCCGAGGACAAGTTTACCCACAACCAGTCTATGGATTTAAGCTTTTCATCCCAGCTGTTAACTATGCCATCTGTACAGGTGACTACAGAAGATGCTGTAGTTACTCAGCCTGTGGATGATACTCATGCTGCTGACCTTACACAGCAAGTAAAGTCAGTAGACACTGAGGGCACAGTTGCCCTAGAGAGGAATGCTTCATTGAAACAATTTCTTGCACCAGAAACTGAGAAGTTAAATCCAGAACAGCATGTTACATCTCAGGTATCTGATTGGAAGGAAAAAGAAACCACAGCATTTTCTCAAACTGTAACAGCTAAGCCCTTACAGAATCCACCTCTGAAAGAGAATCAGAAGAAACCATTTGTGGGAAGCTGGGTTAAAGGCTTATTAAGCAAGGGTGTTTCTTTTATGCCATCTTGTGTTTCAGCTCATAACAGAAACACTGTGACTGATTTGCAGCCTTCAGTTAAGGGGGCAAGTAATTTTGGTGGCTTTAAAACTAAAGGTTCAAGACAAAAGGCCAGCCAGGCCTCCAGGAAAGCTCACAGGAGGGCAGCCAAGCCGCCTCTGGTGAGTAACTCTCCTCCAAGCCATCAGTCACCAGCCAGCACAGCTTCCCCTCCCCGCGCTGATGGCACTGGTGATTTGGAAGTTTTGAAGAGATGTGAAAGCACCTCCTGTGGAGCTCACCTCAACCACAATTCTCATGGAAATGAAAATGGTGTTTCTTCACCAAACCATGGAGACACAGTTGAGGGTCAGATTCATAAACTCCGTCTAAAACTTCTTAAAAAACTTAAGGCAAAAAAGAAGAAATTAGCTGCTCTGATGTCTTCCCCCCAGAACAGAACACTTCCAAGTGAACCTTCAGAACAAGTATCCCATTGTGGGTCTCCAAATGACAGTGAGTCAATAGAAGGCTTGCTGCAAGAACTGCAGCGTCAAATTGACATTGCCGATAATAAATCAGGGTGTGCCACAGCTCCCGGTGTTTCCCCATACGGTGGTCAGACGCACGAAGAAATTCTAGCAGAATTACTATCCCCGACCAGTGTGGTTTCAACAGAGCTTTCAGAAAACGGGGAGGCTGACTTCAGATATTTAGAAATGGGAGATAGTCTCAACCCGGCACCAGTTCCCAATGGATTAAACAGTATTCCCCACAACACACATCTGAGGCAGGAGCATAATTACTGTAGCCCCACCAAGAAAAACCAGAGTGAACTTCAGCCAGATTCACTCACAAATAATGCCTCTATTAGAATATTGAACTCGGAAAGTCCCATGAAGACTGATATCTTTGATGAGTTTTTTTCTGCTTTAGCGTTTAATTCTTTAGCAAATGATGCATTAGACTTACCTCATTTTGATGAATATTTGTTTGAGAATTGTTGAGTGCTTTTGGCTCTTTTTAGTTTAATATTTATTACAACTCTTGGAAAAATGTACTGTATTTCTAGGTAATGTTTGACACACTGGCCTTGTCACAAACAAAATGTAAGCTACTGAAAGTTTTACCTCTCCAGTATTCTTACCTGAAGAATCCCATGGACAGAGGAGCCTGGAGGGCTACAGTCATGGGGTTGCAGAGTCGGACATGACCGAGGCTACTTAGCAGTAGTAGCGGCATGCCTGTGAAACCTGTGATCTATTTTATAAGTTTAAAAGATGATGAATGTGTTCTCCTTTTTGGCTTCATTTTGTGGTTGTAGGTGAATGAGGATTTGAAAATGTTAAAAATGAAAAGTAGTGTATAGTTTCTAGCAATTTGTACAGTTGGGTACACTGAATTTCTACATTTCAAATTTTAGTTTCCTTGGTTCAGGAAAAACACTAGTTGATACAAAAGTGACTGTATATGGTATGTGAACATGTGACTGTTTTTGCTAGTGGTGCTGTGGTCTTAGATAAGAGCCTAAGCATGTTTCTTGTACCAGTAGAGTGGTATAGAATGTAAACTTCCCCTCCATACAATTTGTCTCCTCTTTCTGTCCTTAAAAAAGATGGCAGGAAACTTGTAACTAGAATGTTGCATAATGTTGTGATCAAAAAATGATCTATAAAAGGAAAAAGTAACGTATGTTTGTGTTGATGTGCTAAGAGATTATAAGTATCATCTTTCTCCCCTAAGACACTTATTTCTGTAGCCAAAGTGGAACACACCATCTAATAGGTATGCTTTGGCAGAAATAGCCAGTACATGTAAGGCTTGCATATGTTGGGTTCTATTATAAATGAAATGTTAATTCATTTAAACCTCAACGTTCCTATGAGCAGAGTACTCTTAACCACCTTTGACAGTTAAGGAAACGCCATTGAGCTAATAAGTTGTAGAGCTGGGAATGAGTAGAGTGGTTACTACCGCAGTAAGAGGTGCAGAACTCACATGTTCCACCTGTAGCTTCCTTTAAACTCCAGGTGCCCAAACAGCACCTCCTGCTGTATTGATTTGAATTAGTAGCAGAGTTACCAAGGTTTAAGAGTGGCCATCTTGGGGAAAGAATACTTTGCTAGGGATTCAGAACTTCAGAAACCTCCCTCCCTTCCCTTTTTTCTGATTGCAAAAGTGACACGTGTTTATTATAAGGAAAAACTGGGAAAACACAAGAAAACACCAAGATTTTCAGAGTATTCATCTTAACATTTAGTGATAATAACTACTGCAGACATTTTCATGTTTTTATGCATTTAGACTTTTAAGAAATAAAAGCTTCTGTTGTGCCTGTTTGTTAATGATCTGTGTTCATGTTTAATGAGCATTTTTTTCCGTCTTTAGTTTTTGACACCTTTCGGATAGCTACATAATGTTACATTGTATTACCACTGTTTCATCAATTTATATTTTGAAGTGATTTGTACTGTTTTGTTCTTGTTAATTATACTTATTGACAAAAATTTTCACAGGTCCAGGTTTTATTTTCTGGGAGTGGAATTGCTGGGCCGAAGAATATGCACTTTTATTTTTGGCCTTTTAATAATGACTTGAGTCATTTTGCTGAATCCTCATCAGCTCCAGAAAGTAGCATTGGGCGGGGGAGGGAGAACCTTGGCTGATTTTGGTTACCTTTCCATGGTGACTAGTGAGGCTGAATATTTTCTGTAACTCTTAGCCATTTGAGCGTCTTCGAGGCATTGCTTATCCATCCTTTACTTGTTATTATTCATTCAAATATTTCTAGGTTTCTGCTGAATGTCAAGCATTCTTGTAAACCTCAGATATAAGGCAATAAAAAAAATAATAAAAGGAAATTTTTGCCTTTCAGTCATTTGCCTTTTAAACAAGAACGTTAATCTATAATGTTAGGTGGCAATAGGAAATAGATATGGTTGACTCTTGTTATTTGGTAGTTCTGTAAAGTTGCCGTGAACACTGCATTAACAATTACTGAGCCACTGCTCCTGGTGGGAATACAGTTAGGTTCCTGTGAACCTCTGCTCACAACATCTTCATCATTTGATCAACAAATGATGTTTTTTGTGTCTTTCTGTTTAAAGATACCTTATGTAATAGATATTATTGCTTCACTAACGTTGAACACAGGGCCAGCAGTGCTATAGCTCATGCCTGAATGGAGCTTGTCCCACACACATATTTTCCTCCATAAGGCGCATCACAACTTCTTTGAGCTTGGGAACAGGAGATAGGACTTGAGCACCACACTTCAGGGCTCTTTTAAACCACAAAATAACCAACAAATCACAAAAAAAATGTCCATAAAACATTGAGTCCATGCCAGCAGTCCTTGAAGTCTGGTCCTATCCAAGATGTCCGTGAGCATGTTCAGTTCACGCCAAGGTCCATTGAGGACCTTGTAGCACAGACCAGATGTTCTGCAAAATCTCTTCAGATTTTTCAGTGCTGTGTACACATCCACAAATGACCACAAAAGCACTGCAGGTATTGATTTTTAGGGTTACAAATTTTAGCAAGTAGGCAAATTCAGAAATACAGACTAACAAATTGATTAATGTCAGTACTAAATGCTATGAAGAAAACTGAGATGAGTGATGAGAGGATTATTTTTAGACCAGGTGGACTTGGAGGGGGGTGACATTTGAGCAGGTCTTAGTGAAGTTAGGGAATTGACCACATGACTGAACGAAGGGCGTTATCCAGGAAGAACAAAAGCCCTGAGGCATGAGGGTGCTTAGCATGGTTGAGAACAGGGAAGAGGACAGTGTGAACAGAGTGAGCAAGGGAAAGAAAATTAGAACATCGGGTTAAAGAGGTTGGCAGAAACCAGATCACATATGATCCCCGAGACTGACAGGAAGCCACCAGAAGTTTCCAGACAAGGGAATGGGAAGGGAGGTTTTTAAAGATCACTGACTACAGTTGTCAGAATGGAAGTGCTAGTTTGCGCTGTCTCAGTTCAGACAGCTGTGGAGGTGATAAATAGCTGGACCACTGTTGCATTTCAGAGGCGGAGCCAACAGGTGGACTTGATGGTTAACTGGGTGGTAGAAAGAGGATGCAAAGGGAGCTCAGATTTCATTGCCTGAACACATGGGTGGTTCTGTCTACTGAGATGAGACGGATTTGGAAAGGAAAACCTTTTAAGGAAAGAATTTATTCAATTTTGGATGCATTCCCTTTCCTGGGTTATCAGAAGATAGGGTCTCCTAGCCGGGAAGGCAAAACATCTGTGATCGCGGGAACTGTAATCATTGATGTGCATGTCCAGGAAGTGCCAAAACTGAAGGTGTGTGCTCTGCGTGTGAGCAGCTGCACCTGGAGTCGTATCCTCAAGGCCAGGGAGCAAGATCCTCACTTTCAACCGGCTGGCCCTGGACTCCCCTAAGGGCTATGGCACTGTCCTCCTCTCTGGTCCTCTCAAGAGTGGAGAGGTGTACAGGCATTTTGGCAAGGCCCCAGGAACCCTGCATAGCCGCACCAAACCCTTTGTACACTCCAAGGGCTGGAAGTTGGAGCGCAGCAGAGGCCAACTGTGGCTATAAAAACTGACCCCCGACTCTACTTCATTATTAAAAAGATTTTGGATGCTAAAAAAAAAAAAAAGGATGCATTAAGTGTAAGATTCCTATTAATAGACTTCCAAGTGGGGAGAATAGGAAAGTGGATCTACAGCACTGGGGCTCGAGAGAGGACCGCTGGAGATACCCATCTAGGAATGATGAGTGCACGGATCCTATTTAATGCCATGATGTAGTGCCTGCCTGCTAAGCCGCTTCAGTCATGTCCGACTCTGAAACCCTATGGACTGCAGCCCGCCAGGCTTCTCTGTCCATGGGATTCTCCAGGCAAGAGTACTGGAGTGGGTTGCCATGCCTTCCTCTAGGGAATCTTCCCAACCAACCCAGGGATTGAACCCACATCTCTTCTGTCTGCTGCATTGGCAGGCAGGTTCTTTACCCCAGCACCACCTGGAGGGTGGGGTCATTTAGGGAGTTAAAACAGCTCCGGGGAAAGAAGAGGGGCATTTAGGAGGAAAACCAGATGAGTGGTGTCCTGAAAATCAAGGGAGGAACTGTCAAGGGAAGGCTGCTGACTTGCCAGGTGCTGCTGAGCAGTAGAGAAACATGAAGACCAAGACCTGACATTGGCCTTGGTACCGGGGACGCCCTTGGTAACTTAGCCAGGACAGTTCAGTGCAGCTGTGAGGACAAGAGTGAATGGGTTCAAGCGAGAAGGGACGGTGAGAAAGGGCAGATAGACATGCCATTCTTTTGAACCATTTGCTTGACACCTGGTGGGGGAATGCAAGGTCAAGGTTTTTCATGTTTTTAAAGTGGGAGATGTTATCACATGTTTAAGTGAGAGCCCAAGTGCTCCAGAAAGACAAATGGATGTTGTAAATGAGAGAAGGGACAATTGCAGGAGCAGATTTCTCTGGGATGAGATCCAAGATCGGAAGAGGGTGTGACCCTAAGAGCTAGAAGAGTTTATCCATTTTAGTACCAGAGAAAACAAAGTATATAGGTACTGTCATCAGAAGATTTGAAGATTCGGGGATGAGGAAGGTCTTGTGATTCTTTTCTCGAGGAGACAGTAAAAGCTGCGGGCCTGAGGGGAGAAAGAGTTGAAGATGGAAAAAGATTTGAGTCTCCGGTGCTAAATGAACAGGCCCATGCAGTAGGCTCGCTAGGCAGTGCTCAGAACCCTCCAGAAGTCTACAGTTGTAAACTCTACTAAGACCAGCTAAAATGGTTGTTTATTTTTCTCCGAATGTGTGTGCGGCTCGGGTGCAGGACTGAGAGTAGATGGGAAGTTAAAGAGTTAGCTGAAGTTAGAGGCTTTGTCAAACAAACTGGACACAGAAGAGAAAGCAGTTCAGGTTTTAGGCAAGAACATGATTATAGTAAAGGATAAGGAGGGAGGGTTAGGAGGGACATGGGATAAGGGATGGTCATTCAAAAAGTGGTGGCAAACCTCC